AGTTCCTTTTGGTCTAGGACTTTGGGTTTGTTAGGCTTTAGGGTTCAGGATTAGGTTTTAGGGTTTAGGGTTTAGGTTTTAGTGTTTCGGGTTTAGTGTTTAGGGTTAGGGTTTAGGAATTGAGAAGGACATCCCAAATCCTTGCCCCCAAGTACTAGTTCCGAGGCCCAAGAACAGTCCAGTCATCGTGATTTGCAATGAAGCCGGCCTTTTCTGCCACACGGCTGCACGGACCCTTTGCACCTAAACCCTAGACCCTGGACCTAACCCGAAAAACCCTAAACCCTAAACCCTAAAACCTAAACCCTAAACCCTAAACCCTACCCTTGAAGGCAAAGCTTGCACCGCACCGTAGCAGGAGCCTCGCGTCGGCGACACTTTTGGCGCGCGTTCCACCCGGAAACCCTAAGCAAGTCTGTGCACTCCCAACTTTCTCACACATAAGAGCTCATGGGGTTAGGGTTTAGGGTTTAGGGTCACCACTCTGTCTGAGAAATCAACCCGAGCTTACGGTTTATATAGTTTTTCGTTGAGCTTTGGAGCTTCAGCTACGTAATCCCAAGCAAGTTCGAAAAAATGATCGTGGTTTGGTATAAGGAACCCCCAAAAAATATATTTTATTATTGCGGCCCCTCTGTTACAGGGGATAGTATTGCTGAGCATATTCAGACCCTATTTTTTGGTCGTGGGGCCCGAGGATCTTGTTGCCCAAACCTGGGCATTCTACACCGGAAACGACTAGTCCCCTCATGCCGAAACCCTATACCCCATAAACTGGCCCCGAACCATATGGGAGTGTCTGAAAAGTAGGGGTACTGTATTTTGGGATCCTTATAATAAGGATCCTATTAAGTTAGGATAGTACTATATTAGGGTCCCCTATTTTCGGAAACCATCACTGCCCTTTTCCCCTAAACCCTAAGCCTAAACCCTATAAACCCTAGAACAAAACCCCATCCGAAATCCAATGCCCGGGGTCAGACGGCAAAAGCGCAAAAGCGATGTGGCCTCCATGTCCGACTCCTGCAAACAAGCTGTTCAAGGTTTAGGTTTAGAGTTTAGAGTTTAGGGGTTTGGGGTTTAAGGTTTAGACTTAGAGTTGAGGGGTTTAGAGTTCAGGGTTTAAGGTTTAGACTTAGAGTCTAGGGGTTTAGGGTTCAGGGTTTCGACAAACAGCCGTTTAGACCTCAGACCTACAGGTCTGCTGGGCATGATGTCCGAGCGGATGCGGTCCTGGATTTCAGCAAGTTTTTCCGGAAAAAAGCAGAGATCTACAACCCGACCCGTTCCAGACAAAAGCATGCTCATCTCGCCCCTAGACGAGACACTGAATGTCGAACCCACAGGATCCATTTATATAGTATATATTTCGGGCATAAGAGGGGTTCCTATATAAGTACTTTCAGGGCTCAGTAGATCCTTTATATAGGTACATGGAGCCTTAGGGTAAGCATACGACGGCTTCATGCTAGACAAGGAGGCCCTAGCACGCTGGCACTGGCTCCCCAGACAGTCCCGAAATGCAGAGGAATGATGCGCGACAACCAGTGGAAGTACGTTATGGGTTCTGCAAGCGTGACACTGCCTATCATGCAGGTCCGTACACAATCACAAGCCCTCAGCCCTCAGCCGCCCCGAAATCGGCAGACCCTTAACCCCCCTCCCTCCATCAATCCTTAACCCCTCCTTAACGCTCACCTCAATGCTCCAGCACATCATTCCACGCCTTATCGCTCCCTAGCCTCTCCTTGCCTGAAGTAAGCCCCCAACCCCCTGCAGCGCTTTGAACCAGGCGCTTGTACTCCTGCCTAAATCCTAGGCCCTAAGCCGAACGTATATCTGAGTCCTCATATGGGTAGTTGTCAAAATTATGGTCCCTTTTTCGGTACCCTAAATAATAGGTGCCGTAGTATAATAAGGACCCAAAAAGGGACCATAATTTTGACAACCACCCATATGGCTTAACCAACCACGGAGACAGGTCTCCTGGCCCCCGACGAACTGAATCAGAAGGTCGGCAAGACCAGAAGCACCAAGAAACAAGTCAAAGAGATTCCTGAGGGTGTTAGGGTTTAGGGTTTAGGGTTTAGGGTTTAGGGTTTAGGGTTTAGGATTCCTGGAGGAAGCTAAGGGTGCTAGGCCCACATGTTGAACTTGGGGCTCTGCTAGGTGTTGAAAGCGTTGGAAAAAACCGGCTGAGGCCGCGCCCCCACGCCCCTAAATCTTCAAGCCTAAAGCTCTTCGGGTGCCGAGGGTTTATATTGGGAATATGTCTGAACAACTTTTGGTTTTCGAGGCTGTATGAGGCCTCAGAGACATGGAAGTGGTCCAAACAGCTTTATGACATCTCATGACATCTTTCAGCATACCGGCAGAGGCCACAGAGCTGCCAGTTTGGCTTAGGGTGGGTGCAATCTAGGGCCTTATAAATTAGTATCCGGGTTTTGGGACATATTGCAGTATACTAGATACTATAGTTGTATTAGGATCGATAAGGTTACTATTGCTAATTATTTTGACCCCGGTATTTCAGTTGGCTGATAGAGACTGATATTCTTGATCTCCACCCTCGGGCCGAAATCGAACTTCCAAGTAGCGCCCCAAGCCAAACAGCACAAAACAGTGAACCCATATATAGGGTTTATGTCCAGGTATCCTAACCTGACTAAGAGTCTTCAAGGGTGGAACATCTCCCCACTTCACGAGCGCAGTCAGCTCAAGATTATCCCAAACTCCAGTCCTTTTTGAACGAGGTCTCTCTGAAGTGCCTCTAACAGTACCCTAAACCCTAAACCCTAAACCCTAAACCCTAAACCCTAAACCCTAAACCCTAAACCCAAACCCCAAACCCCAGTCCTGCATCCTAAACCCTTGACCCGGGAACGAGGAAGCTGAAGACTGAGCCGTGGTGAGGCGAGCTTGGCCCTTTAATCCAGGGTTTGGTTTAGGGTTTAGGGTTTAGGGTTTAGGGTTTAGGGTTTAGGGTTTAGGGTTTAGGGTTTAGGGTTTAGGGTTTAGGGTTTAGGGGTATGGGCCCCTAATATGGGCCCTTAGGGGGGTTCTAGGGACCCGTAAGGGTACATATAGGGTATATAGTAGGTATATAAGGATCCCAGGGTTAAGGGCCCATACTAGGGGCCCATGGGTTCAACCTTAGATTTAAACCTGTGAGCAATTTTCGTAAATGAGACCTTCTTAGGCCCAATAAGGGAAAATAATAACATGTCCCAAGAGCCTACCTAGGAGGTCAAGCCTCTTGTTGAACCTGAAAGACTGCGCTACCCCTTTTGAACCCAGTCTCTGATCATCAGCTGGGAAAGTTGGCCAGACTGCACTACCCCTAAACCCTAAACCTAAACCCAAAGCCCTAAATCCTAAACCTTAAACCGACCCTGGTTGGGGAATTTGTGACACTCAAACTCGGACAAGGCTCGAATCCCAAACACTACACACCGAAATGGGGCCCCGACCGGTCACAGCATCAAAACTGAACCCTCACTTCACATGCAAACGCCACTCGCTTGGATAATGTCAATGAGTGTGTTTTTCGTTCATAGACTACTTGGAAGGTCATGAGACTTAGTAAGCATGGCTATAGTTATAAGCACCTTAATTGAAGCTATTAATAAAAACAGGTACAGTTACTCTCACAATACCCCTAGCTACCAAGGGTTGATTGGGCAGGCTCTGTTCAGAACGATGGTGGCTCTTCAC